GGCCCCGCCCCCCGGCCGCGCGTGCCGCCCGCGAGCCACTGGGGTTTGGTGGGGAGCGCGGGAGCGCAGCGGGGCCGGGCGGTCGGTCTGACCCTCTGCTCTGCCCGCAGATGGCCGGGTGCGTGTCCAGGGTGGAGTTGTCGGTGTCCTGCCGGAGCCTCCTCGACAGGGACCTGGGCTCCAGGTCGGATCCCCTCTGCGTCTTGCTCCAGGAGGTGGGCGGCGGCCGGTGGGCTGAGGTAAGGACCGGACTGAGGTGAGGGCGGCTGCCGGCCCCCGCTTTGCTTTTCCGCCAGGCGCAAGCATACCGGGTTTTCCCCCTTGCCATAGCGGATGCGCGATACGTTCAATCTGGATTTGCGTTCAAGGAGCAGTCCGCTATGCCCATGCTCAAACTCTGTTTGGAGTTTTATGTTCATTGGTTTTGTTAATTGCTCATACGTTTGCTTGGAGTTGCATCAGGTCGCTTGTTTGCCTGTTACAATGCAGCCGGTCCTCTTTCCTTTACACTGGAGCATGCAGTCCAGAATACAGTGTTTCACCAGCCTTTTTTCCCCTAATTTTCAGGATTTTCCTTTATGGTAACATTTATCATCAGATGCAATTTCCTTTCTTGGCAAGCCATTGGTCAGCCTGGTGGCAGCGGCCTGATTCATCACCAAGCTCAAAGCACAGTCTGGGATGCATAGGCTGGCTGGTGCCTGTGTTCAACCAGTGCAGAGGGCCGGGGCTGTGGATGAAAAGCTGTGTGGGAGAAAGCGTGTTTCTTGCTCATCATCAATGGCTTTGCTTCCATGTTTGTGCAGCTAGATCGCACAGAGAGGATCAAGAACTCCCAAAACCCTGAATTCTGCAAGAAACTGGTTGTGGACTACTACTTTGAGAAAGTGCAGAAGCTGAAATTCGCCGTGTATGATATTGATAACAAGTCCTTTGATTTAAATGACGATGACTATCTTGGAGGGATCGAGTGTACGCTGGGGCAGGTATGCGTAGAGGCATGTTAAGTGATCTACGAAGTAGCAGCGAGCGTTGGGTTTATTATGAAAAATGGGGTGAAAGACTGCTTTATCAAAGGCTTCGACACTTCAAGTTTGAAAACATCTTGTTGAACAGGTTAGTTTGTGTTACTGTTGAACATAGTTAGAAAAATTGTGTCAATCACAAAGTGAAGGTTAGAAACATACATGGTTTGCAATTGATTGCTTAACTTGGGAGGTGCTTGTAGTGCTAAAGGCAGTTTGGGAGTAAGGAAGGCATGGTCCTTGGAGAGCTCTCATGGAGTTTCCTTTGCACAAAGACATCATTGGGCAGTAAATTTGGGAAATAAGGCTATTTGAGATTCTGTATTCATTTCCTGAGGAGGAGTTTGTATAGCTAGGGAGGAGAAGAAAAGTGCGGTTCATGTTACTAAAGAAGGACTTGATAAATTAAATAGTCTTTTCTGATTTTTAATAGCTGTTTGGCTACTTGTGATGAAAATGCCTCTTGTGTCACACAGGTAGCAAAAATAGGCTAAAGTTAAGTTTGGAGGCATGTTAGTGGGTACTCTTTTGTAGAGAGAGAAGATAATTTTCAGATTGTTCAACCATTCAGGAGCACAAACTCTGATGGCTGTTGCTGTTGGAAATGCATTTAAATACTTTTAGAAGAGTTTGAAAATTTTGCTCCTGAAGAGTAATTCTTCGTTCTTTGTCTAACTTGATATTTATATTATCTGCCTTTTAACCTTAGATTGTGTCCAGCTCAGTGTTCACCCAACCACTGGAATTGAAGCAGGGAAAGCCAGCAGGAAGGGGTACCATTACAGTAAATAAGGTTTTTGTGTGGGGAAAAAAAGGTTTCTCATTCTTGCATACATTGTCTGGGACAAAGTAACATTTCTGGTTTTCTGTCAGTATATCTTCAAATGCTATGTGTGTACAGGAAAGATAGATATTTGTAACTATAGTTTCTTTCATGGGCAAAGTACAAGTAAAATTCTATGGTGTTTCTGGTTTAATTTTTTTTTTTTTCCTAAATTTCTGTGGCACAGATTTCAGCAGAGGAGATTAAAGATACCAGGGTTGTGTACTTGGAAATTGAAGCCCAAAACTTGGATAAAAAGGTATTGATTTTTTTAAAATTACATTGCGTACTTCTGCAATATTTACAGTTAGTGCCTTTTGGCCAGGAATATCTGTCTTTGCAGACATTCAACTAAGCTAGGTAATCCATGTATGAAAAAAAGGCTCGCTGTGTTTCGTTACTTAAAATGAAGTAAACTGGAGACATTTCATGTTCAAAACCACGATATCAAACGAGAAACTCAACTGTCAGGTTTAGAATTTGGGGGTTTATTTAGGCTTTGGAATATTCTGTATATTAATACAGTTCGGTTACATAATTGTCTCCAATGACTATTGTAGCTGTGAACTGAGCTTTCTGTAATGTTATTAAGGAAGAAAAGGTGGAAATTTAGGTATGCTGCCTCGATGTTATTTTAAGCCAAAGACCAACCTAGGGCTTTAGTGACCTCGCTGTTCAGTCAGCAAAATGACCTGAATTATAGTGACAAAAATGGTCTGAAGAGGTGATCTTTGAATCAGAGCTGATAAATTCTGATGACTTAGAAAGTGCAGCAGTTTAAAAAAGAAAAGAAAAATAAGAGAAAACAAATGTATAGTTTGTTTGACTTTGTGCTTTGTTTGAAGTACTGTGTACTGATTAGCCAGCTCTTCTCTCATCTGAGTAAAATATAGGAGGCTGATTACTTCTGTTGGGTTTTTGTTTGCAGGATTTCTTAGGTAAATCAGATCCATTTTTGGAGTTTTACAAGCAGAATGATGCTGGAATGTGGCAGCTGGTGTACAGATCAGAGGTAGTATTTCTATGCTGATGTTTTTCTTCGAGTTGATCAGGCAGTTTACTCCTTCCAAAAGTGGGAGTCCCACTCCTGGTCATGCTTTGCACCAGTTCTGCAATGAGAGATGTCTTGTATCCTAAAAAAGGGATTCTGCTGACTGACCTGGCAGAAAATTGTTTATTAGCTGCTTGGTGACTGGATTAAGCTGGCTCAGTGAAGAGTCCAACCATGTACCAAGTGAGAAGAGTGGCAGGACTCTCCTCCTTTCAGTGGTGATAAGCTGTTAGGTTGGCTTGGCTCTAAAATTTTACTTTACCCCGAACATCAAGTTTTTATTTCTTACAGAGCTTTTGCCTGGCTGTCCATGCGTGTCAGAATTGAACTGACTGAGGGTGTTCTTAGATAGCTGTGCAGAACCCTCATGTTATGTTTCTTAGTGACTTGCATGCCACATCGCTCACATGCTGTTATGCTGTAATTTTTTTAAGGTGATTAAGAACAACTTAAATCCATGCTGGAGGAAGTTCAGTGTTCCTTTGCAGACGTTCTGTGGTGGAGATTTTAATAAACCTATTAAGGTACAGCCTTCAGAAATTCTCTTTGTTGTTTTAAGTAATCCAATCTCTGTTGATGTTAATTATGAATTATCAGGTTGTCTAGTCGTATTTAAATTTTTAGATTGCCTTTCTTGAACAGTAGTGTGGCAGATAAGTGATAATATGTCTATTGAGTATGAAGTCTGTATTAAAACATTATGAGTTGCCAGATTGAGAAGTCAGGAAATGCAGAAGTGACACACTTTCTAATGATTAGTCATAAGAAGAATTATAACTGATTTTTTTACTATTCTGGCCAGGGTTTCATGTTGGGTTTTGGTATTTGTTGGGGTTTTTTTGTTTGGTTTTTTTTTGTTTTTTAATCGTGGCTTTCTAGCACTGTTTCTAAGTTCACTGAGCTCAAGTATGTTGGACAAGCTTGAGTGCCTTAGGATACTGAAATAGACAGGACCTCAATGCATCTGTCAGATTCATCCATTCATGAGACTGGCAGGCTTGTCCCAATTCTTTCAATCTGTTCCAACTAGAAATTGGTTTTGAGTCAGAACTACAATTCCTTGTGGTCTTGTATATGATGACTAATTCTTTCTGGTCCTGGCTTATGGAGGTGGTAGCAGAACAATTACATCTTTAATAAGTTTCCACAAAGGAAAATCTGATAGCAAGTTAATTTGTTCATTTCTGTTTTAAGCAATGCATTGATAACGTAAAGGCATTTAAATCCATAGATAGTTCTATGTGAGTATAGTGTTTCTCTGCTTATCCAGCTGCTAAACACTTTGCATTTGCAGAATTTTCCTGCCTCATCCTGTCTGTGAAGAAATCTCATGCTGGAAGCTTGATCTGAAAGGTTTAGCAAAAAGCATGATGATAATGTTTTTATTTGTGCAGCATGGCAGGTCCAAAGAATTACTGAGATTGTTAACCTGGAAATAGATGTTCAGCTGTGCTGGGCTTGTTGATACGCAGCAATGTTCTAAGTGGTGTTCATGAGCTTTTTTTGTTGGGGAATCAACAGTCTTAGGTCAGAAAGTCCTCTTGGTCCAAAAGTGAGCAGCAAGTGTGGAAAGGAGATGGCAGAGATGCATATTATCATTTGTCAAAATTGGCGTGAGTTGGCATAGTTTACACATTCTATTACAGAATACAGGCTGTATTTGCTACAGTCTAAAAAGATTTGTGTGGTTGGGGTTTGTTTGTTGTGGGGTTTTGTTTGCTTGCTTGCTTGCTTTGGTTTGTTTTTTTTGTTTTGTTTGGGGGGGTTTGTTTGTTTGTTTTCCAGAAGCTTTCTGTGCTTTGGAATTCACTTTGGAATGACCTGCTTCTTAAAAAGGATAGATTTTTGCTGTTAAGTTTGTTTCAGCCAAAATTCTTGATGCATGTGCAAATAATCTATTAAGTTTCACAGTGCAGCTGTGAAAAAGGATTATACTGTTCTTGTACTTAACAGGTTAGGGAAGCCAGTCAGAAAGGGGAATCCAGGCTGACAGGCAGGACTTTCACTAGCAGCACTAAAGAATATATATTGCACTGGTGTTTCATTTTTCATCTGGTATTTGCTGCTCCGTACCTCTTGTTTGAGGCTTCCAAAAATTTACGTAGGAACAATTATACATGAATTAATAGTAGTCAGGGAAGGGAGAACTCCTTGTACTTCATCACAGTGGAAACAGCCATTTTGATGTGTCCCCTTAAATATCGGCTTTGCCAGCTACTTATGAGGATTACGTACTGAATATGTGTATGAACATAAATATTTTGATAAATTAACAATGCTATCTAAGGTATTGGTAAGTCTTTCTTCATTGTGATGCAGAGTGGTGTTCTCCTTGTTCTGTGTTAAGAACATCTCAGATTTGCGACACAGCCTAATCTTCTTGACAGTTTCATTAAAAATCGGGGCAAATGAAAGTACTCTCTCTCCCCAATAGTTATTTAAATGGAAATAGCAAATCTGAAATTTGTGGATGTTGGTATTGGGACTAAAGCTGCCAGTCCACATGTTTGATGGCGTATATATAAAGGCAGATCTGTTTTCTGTGAATTTTGAAAGCTCCTCCTGTAGATGAAAGGGGCCTTTTACCTGCTGACTGTATTCCAAGGCTTGTAATAGATATTGGATAGTTGATTTGCAAAGAAATAATTCATCAGTAAATAATTACATACAGTGTCCTGCAGTATTGCTAGCAGGATTTTGTTTGCAGCAGCACCATGCTTTGGGCTGCATACAGTGAATCTTGGCCAGTTTTAGAAAACACTTGCAAAAAGAGATTTGTTTTAAGCCATATCATGCTGTGAACTAATAACAAAACTGGTCCTAAATACAGTTTTATTGGCATGGCTGAGAGGGGGAGCAGGAGCAGGCAGGAGGGGATAGGAGGTGGGTGGAGGCAGCAGCTGCTGAATGCTTTGCAGTTCTCCAGGTATATTGGTGCGAAGGAGACCCTGTACCGGGAGTCTGCACCCTGGCTTCTGCATGAAAGCCTCCTCCGTTGGCCCTCCCTGGCATAATCCAGTTGCTTTTTGGTGATGTTTAAATATCAGAATTGTTGAGAAAGGTGGAGTGGAGTTCAGGCAGGAGGGTGGGAATTTCTTCATGGTAGAGCGTGCAGAAGAGAGGAGTGGGAAGGTGGTGTGTTGGGAAGGATATAGGGGGAGAAGGGGTGCACAGTCTCTAAGGTGATCTTGTTTTCCCATTAAGACACTGAAGGATGGTGCGGTGCTTCCGATTTAGGTGGCTAGATTAGGCCATAATTCACCTGGCTTTTTGTACAGGTTTCCCACTGATCCCAGTGGAAGATCTGCAGTAGATCACAGTAGTCCTAAAAGAACCTCACCTCAAATTCAGATATATAGCCATTGAATTTGACATCCTTATCGGGGTGTTACCCATGGGTTCATCTTGTCCCTTGGTCCCGAGGAGAAAGCTGTCATTGTGGTTTGTACTGGAGTAACATCAGTTTCTTGATTGCTAAAGGAAGATCTCAGAAACAGAGAGCTTTTGAATCTGTAGCATGTGAACTTCAGTGGGGAAGAAGCAGCTGTTAAACTGTTTCTTGATTGACTGCTTCTGGAATTACTTGTGTTGTGCATGTTATAAACATTCCTCAGTTGATTTTGTGAGGAGCTATTGACAATATACATCTTACTGCGTTTGCTTTAAGCCATAGTTATTAGCATATTTTTATTTTTAAATGCATTGCTCTTTTACATTATCTAGTTCAGAAGTTTTCATGCTGATTTAAATGTGACTGGTTATTAATTAAAGTATTTATAATTTGATTGGTATAAGATGCAGAAAAAGACAGACTTGGTGCTCTGGGGAAATTGCAGTTTCTTTGTAAATTGATGCTATTGCTGGGCAGAAGAAAAGATATTCAGAAAATGCTTAGATAACAAACTTTTAATTGCTTCTTCCCATTACCCCAGTTGCATATCTTGTCCTGAATGATCTTGAATTTATACATCTGGGCTGTGAAATCTTGGGGGAGTTTTGGGGGTTGGTTTTTTTTTTGTTTTATTTTTTTTATCTCTCATGTTTAAACTGTGGGAAGCTTTCAAAACTTTCACCATGCGTACTTAAATGGGTGAGCAATTGAACATCATTTGTTTTCTGAGATTCACTCTTACTATCAGGTTTCAATTAGTGATGTGGATGACACCACCAGTTCAGATGTGATAGGGGAGTTCACTAGCATCACTGCAAAGCTGTCAGAAACAGGAGATTGCATGGTGAGCAGCTACTGTTCTCCCTAGTGCAGTACGCCTGCCCATTGCTTGCTCTCTTCCCTTTCAGGTACAGTGTGCAGATCACAACAGTGATGGGTCACATGACTTGATAGGCTCTTTTGAAACTAAGCTGACTCAGCTGCAGAAAGCAGGTGGCAGCTCTCTGGTGAGCTTTTTTGATCCCCTGCTAACTTAGTCCATAATTCAGTTTTTCACAAAACCTTTTTAATGTTGACCTCGGAGATGCATTTTTAGTTGTTGCCTCCAAAAGTAAATTTTTCTGTCTATATCTTTGTATTACTAAGCCAACATCTGGGAAAAATAAAAGCTGGTGTGGGAATTATATTGCTCTGTTTTTCTTGGGTACTGTTACCATTCCTATTCCTAAAGACATTCTTGAGCCCATTGTCTGCTGGCCACTAGCCACTTTTCCCAGCAGTTCAGCTTGCTTTTGCCTCTCCTGAGTCAAGTGGAAATAAAAGGGCTTGCTCGTGCTTTAACTCACGAGTCCAGAGGTAGGGCTTGTCTCAGATACCGTTTGTGCTTGAGCTGGTCACCCTCACGAACACTCTGGTTGCCTTTCTAGCTAACAGAGAGAAGCAGTGCTTCCAAGGGGCACTCTTCTTACCTTGTCTTGGGCAACCAGTTTAGAGTAAGTTGAATCATTTGCTGGTGGTGCTGGTTGCTCTCTGTTGTCTGCAGTGAAAATCTGAACTCTTGTTCTCATGGAGATGTCTCGTCTGAATTCAGACACATGAATCTGCATGCAGGAGGTAGCCTAGGACTCCTTTCAGTTGCCAGCCAGCTTGATTTCTGTGGTTGTAATCCTAAAGCTGGTGGAAGATTCTTGCCTTTTTCCCTAGCCTATGTGGAATCAGAACTAACGCGAGTAAAGCAAAACAGTGAAACACGGCCACTGGGAACCTGCAACCTAGGCTTTTTTGACCTCCCCCACCCCAAGATTTTGCCTCCTCATCTTCTGAGTGCATTCCTTTCCCTTAACCAAAAAAGAACCTGATGGTGTGTCCTGGTTTCAGCTGGGATAGAGTTAATTGTCCTTCTAGTAGCTGGTATAGTGCTGTTTTTGAGTTAGGTATGAGAAGGATGTTGATAACACACTGATGTTTTCAGTTGGTGCTAAGTAATGTTTAGTCTAAAGTCAAGGATTTTTCAGCTTCTCATGCCCAGCCAGCAAGAAGGCTGGAGATGCACAAGAAGTTGAGAGGGACAGAGCCAGGGCAGCTGACCCAAACTGGCCAAAGGGGTATTCCATACCATATGATGTCAGGTCTAGTATATAAACTGGGGGAGTCGGGGCAGAGGAGTTGCCACTCAGGAACTAACTGGGCATCAATCAGTGGGTGGTGAGCAATTAATTCCATTGTGCATCACTTGTATATTCTAATCCTTTTATTATTACTATTGACATTTTATTAGTGTTATCATTATCATTATTAGTTTGTTCTTTTCTGTTCTACTAAACCGTTCTTATCTCAACCCACGAGTTTTACTTCTTTTCCTGATTTTCTCCCCCATCCGACTGGGTGGCAGGGGAAGCGAGTGAGTGGCTGCATGGTGCTTAGTTGCTGACTGGGGTTAAACCACAACATGATGTTAAGAGGAATGCTGGTATTTGTGATCAACTTTTTTTCCCTCTGATACAATGACACTGCTTCATGATTGCATACAGAAAAACAGTTACGTTGTTGAGGAGAGAAACTTTTCTGAGGTCTTTCCTCATGTTTTGCCCAATGCTGGTAGCAAAAGCATCCCATTTAACTTGTCAGATAGCAGCCAAAGTAGTTGCAGACCTTTTTAAAATTAAATTTCAGAATTCTGCCAGGTATTTGGGTAACTGAAATATTTTGGAACTTGCTTCTTGCATGCTTGCTTTCTGTAGGTGGAATTTGAATGCATTCATCCTGAGAAAAAAAAAACAAAAGAAAAAGAGCTACAAAAACTCTGGCATTATTAGGATAAAATCCTGCAAGGTAGGAAGATTTTTGTTGTTGTTTTGGCTTTTTTATTTTCTGATCGTAATGAAATCTGTTCTTGTGGGGAGGAGGTGTAACACTGTCTGTCTGTTCCTCTAGCTTGAGGCAGAATATTCATTCCTGGACTACGTTATGGGAGGCTGCCAGATTAACTTTACAGTGAGTTGTTTCCCCACTGCACATCTTGGTAGATGACAGGACAAGAGCAATGAAATTGTGATTAGTACTTTTATTTGCAGTGTGCATTACTGCAAATGCAGTGTGAATTTGCAGTGATGGAAGACTGCAAAAAACAAATTATACTATATTTTTACTTTTTGTGATCAAGTAGCAACTTTAATGGAACTAGGGTTTCTTAAACTTCTTTTGAGAAATTGGTTTGGTCTATCAGTGGAAAGGATTACTACTTCTTAAACATGCATGTTCCGCAGTGGGAAAAGGTATGCAGACGGGTTTGCCTGTTCCTGTATGTGGCTGCCTGTGTGCCTGGAAGGAAGGGAGCTATGTGGGCCTGGTCTAACTCTCTGTTTCTGGGTATGGTTAGTTCTTCTCATTTGCTTATGGTGATGCATCAGTGATTTGCTGTTATCATCTTGACTGATTAGGTGGGTGTAGACTTCACTGGCTCCAACAGAGATCCCAAGTCACCAGATTCTCTTCACTACATCAGCCCGGACGGGATAAATGAGTACCTAGTACCTAATTGCCATCTGGAGTGTGGGAAGTGTAGTCCAGGATTATGACACGTATGTAATGATCTCAACTGATCTAGCAACTGCATCAAAAATGTGTGTGGGTGTCAGTAATCAAGGCTGATAGCTTGTTCCAGGGCTGTCACGTTTGAATGACTGAGATGCTACCTTTCCTTGGGGGATCCCTTCAGGAGCTGCTACGGCTTCCTCCTGCTTCTATCACTGCCGAGGAGGGCAGTGGCAGCCCTTCATAATTTGGCATATTTGCTTGGTTTGTCCCTCCAGGTCTGCCCTTTTATGGCCCTGGGTTACTCTGCAATGCCGCTTTAGCTGGTCACTAATCCCTTATTGCTGATGGTGTGTTTCAAACATGAATGCCCTGTTTGATTCAATGGGAACATGTTTGCCTGCTCTGTCCTTTAGCCAGGCTGTGGTTTGGTTGGCTTTTCTCTTGCTGCTTTGAAATCTCCTGAGAGTCCTGTGGGGTGCTGCACTGAAAGAAATTCTGAAACTGTCAAGTCCAAGCCTGAAACCCTTTGGTAACTGGTGACTGGCCATGGGGAGAGCTAGATGTTGTAACCATTCCTTATGGCAGGAATTGAACCTTGGTCTCCAGCTGCTTTCTGGGAATAAACCTGAATAGTGAGTTATTCTTTAATAACTCTTTCTCATTTCTTGTTGTTGCCCTTTTGCTCCAGGGACAAGCTGTTTCCTGTGTTTGGATTTAGAGCTCAGGTTCCTCCTAGCTGGCAGGTAGGGCCTTCACAATGCTGGGCAGTTGCTCTGTCCATGTCTTCATTCCCTAACTGCATTCCCTACCTTTCCTAGGTATCTCATGAGTTTGCTTTGAATTTCAACCCCAGCAACCCTTATTGTCAAGGTGAGGACACCTCTTTTTAATACTTCACTGGGAGGGACAGATGTTTGAAGTGTTTTATTTCTTTCATAATTGGTGAAAACCAGATGCAGCACCAAGACATGCAGCAAACTAGATTCGCTCTCACCTGGATGCTGACAAGAGTGGATGTGTGTTGATGCAGACTTCTGTGTGGTCTGCATGAGCTACAGGGAAGGGGTCTAGACTTAGTCTGATTGTTAGTCTGTGCTGAAATCTTTGCTGCTGCAACTTGGTTACTTCTGGTATGTTATAGGTGACAGTGGATTCAGATCAGCAACGTGCCTGTGCTAGTCATGATTCCAGAGCGACCATCTGCTAAGGCTGTTGGAGACTATGGTTACTTCATCAGCAATATGTATATGTTTGAATGTTATGTTATCTTTCAAAGGGATGTCTTAAAAGCTTATTTTCTTTATAGCCTTCTACTTTAGTGGAGATTGTTTCAGCTGTTTTTTAGCAGCTGCTCTCTAAGCTGCATTATGACCTTTTAGAACTAAGAACTCTCTCAGCATGCAGTGACACAGAATTGTTCTTGAACAAGCATTTTTAACTCAGCTCAATTTTTCTCTCTGGTCTGAGGCCAACAAAAAATGGAATCTGAAATTCAGTGTTAAAATGCAGGCATTTCCTTGGTCAGCTCAGCACTGTCTGCCTCATTGGGATCTGCGTCTTTGCTCTTTAAGGGTCCCTGTGCAGTAGTTTTGAGAGGTACCACACTAAAACCTGCATGGTGGACAATGCAAACAGCAGTGGCAAATGAAGCTACATTGATACAAGCCAGGAATAGGCCAATTTAGATGGATCAACAGAAGAATATGCACCACTTAAAATCAGACTTTTAAAAAGATTTTGTTTAGTTAACGTGAGAAAAGCTTGTTGCATAGGAAAAATGCTAGGGATTGATATTTCTGTTACAGAAATATTTGAATCCTGAATCAGGGATCATTGTCTAACTTTCACACAAGGAAAATGAAAAATTACTGTTCCAGAGAGCTTCTGACCTTGTTTTCTAATTAGACTATAAGCAATTAAACAAGACAAACTGGATGACAAGGTAGAAAAGACAAGGTAAACATAGTCACGAGCGTGCCTTCACTGGATTATTTTTCCCGCAACTTCCATGAACTTTATGATGTTAGAGGCACAAAGAGTGATGTGAAGAATGTAGAATGGGGGAAAAATCTGCAAGTCCTATCTCTACAGATGTCCATTGGTTTCAGCCCTGTGCTTTGTATATTTGCTGTTATCCTGCTGCTTATTTGCCCCTTAGGAGTTCACAGCTGTGTGAGAGTTATCCTTTTGCTGTACTATTAGTAATGCTTATGAAATAATTACTGGAGAAGTTGTGAGGCTCTTGTAGCAGCTTGCCTTCCTGTGTTACAGGCATCCAAGGAATAGTGGATGCCTACCGCCAGATCCTGCCTCAGATCCGACTCTGTGGGCCAACCAATTTCTTTCCTATTATAAACCACGTGGCAAGGTTTGCAGCACACTCTGCACAACAAGGAACTGCTTCAGTGAGTGCATGTCCTTTCCTGTGGATCTGTGTTAGGTTAATGTTTCTATTTTCCATGTTCACGATGTGGTAGAATGGAATGCTAAAGTGATGTTGTTTTCCTTCCTTAGGATCCCAAGTTTGGTCCTCACTTACCAACCTACAGAGAGGCTGTTGGTACTCTCTTGGTACATATTGATGTGAACCTGTACTTGGTAGACACTGACATTAGTTTCCATTGCTCAAGTGATATTTAGTTCTCTTTTTCCAGTTTGCTGTCATTGTACTTAGTATTGAAATATACAGGGGTGGTGTTGGCTTTTAGACCAGTTGGACTCTGTCAGCAGTTGCCTCACTCTCGCCTCTCTTGCCAAGCTCCATCAGCTGTAGGGAATGCAGACAGTAAAAAGGGGCCCTATATATTTTATTCCAAACAATTTTGCTCTCAAGAATGTACACAAAAAACTGTCTCCAAGAAAAATATCAGAGGGCTTGACTATCCATCCCACCATGGTGGCATGCAGAATCAGGATATCTAGAGGGCCAGATTAACAAGGGAGTCTGAGAACTGTTAAATCAGTATGCTAATTGCATTGCAGAGCATCCATGCTACCCTACAGTTGTGTTGCATGTCTCATTTGTGTGCTTGCATGGCCATGGCTGCTGTTAAAGTTCAGCTCTATTTCTTTAAACTTCACTCCTTTTGTTTAAGGATGAAGGACTCCTATTTCCTGGTAGATTTAACTGATTCCAATTTGAGAGACCAATCAGAAGGAATTTTGATGTACACTCTGATACTTGCTTTACAGTCTAGCTCTGTCAGTATTTTTGGTTCTACATATGTTTGTGTGTATGTAGAGTACATTTCCCAGATTGTGAGGTGCTTGGTCTAGGGAGATCTATTTCTTACATTTCTGAGGGTATTTTTTAGCTTTCCCAACACTTGGGGGAATCTACTTGTTTCTCTTTATATGTTAAATATCTTTACTTTTTCTTACAGATGAAAAAGTATTTAAATAAAGAATATCTTAGTAATGGGATACAGCAATAGTAACACTTGTGTTAACTGGGTTTTGGAATTGGAAATTCAATTTTCTTTGATTTTCATTGTGTGTGTCTTATTTCTTATTTTCATTTTAAGCCTGTAGATAGCTGCTATAAAGCAGTGGTTGCTCATTTCAGAACCAGGTACTAAACCTTAGCCTCTGGAAAAGGAAGGACATTTTAAACACTACCATGTTAATGTGTTGGTTTGAGGTATTTTTTTCTTTCTAGAAAAGCTCCTGTATTCTTACCATTTTGTTATCTCTGTGTCATGACATTTGTCACTGCTGTGTTTTGAGATTTCTAATACTTATAATTAAAGTTATTGGTAACTAAAAAAGAAGGCTTTTTTGAGTTACTCCAGAATATTAAATATTAAACTTAAGCCTTTTTGAGATGTAAGTAAAGCAGCATCCATCAGGGATTTTGTATGCAGCTTTGTTGATTTAGTAGTACTTTGTTCATCTCTAGTACTTTCTGCCAATTGATGTAGTTGTTCTTTATAAATTGAATTTAAGCCTCTATCTTTTTTCTAGTACAGAGGAAATCTGAAGTGCACAATGAATGGTGTTATGCATATGAAAAAATGGGGATAAACATAAGTTTCTTTAATGCTCTGGTTTTGTCTTATCCACAGCACCATCTGATTTCTTTCTTAGAATAAGAAATGGCTCCATTTGCCTTCAGTTATGTGAGCTTTGGTGTTGAACTCCCTAACTGGGTGCTTTCTAATGTTTTTCAGCAATATTTTATCTTGCTGATCATCACAGACGGAGAGATCACTGATCTGGACCAAACTAGGCAAGCGATTGTTAATGCATCTAAGCTGCCAATGTCCATCGTTATTGTTGGAGTTGGTGAAGCTGATTTCAAAGCAATGATAGAGATGATGGTGTCCTGAAGTCCCTGACAGGAGAGCCAGCTGCACGAGACATTGTCCAGTTTGTGCCTTTTCGACAGTTCAAAAATGTAAGTTGTCTTTAACTTCAGAAGAGTCCTGGTGCCAGTATATATGCAGTTATCACATCTAAAAAATGAGCATGGGTCTAGACCAGGCAGCAAGCTGCATACTCAAAGTGCTGTCCTAGCTGCTTGTTCCTAGTGAGAGCTGAGATGTTTGCGTCTGTGTTTGAAACTGTACCTTTTCACAGCTCTCTTGCAGCTTTTCTTGAAGAGCTCTTGTTGATCGTTGGTTTAGTATACTATCTCTTGGCTATTGCAGAGCTAAAGGAGTAAAGGAGATGTTTTCTGTTCTGGGATGCAAACATTTAGGCAGGGAACTGAGATCATACTGTCAGTCTCTGATGTTGACTCCCATGAGTGATTTAAGCTGAGATAAGTCTTCCCTGCTGTTGAAAGTAGTCCTGTTATTCCCCAGCTCCTCCATACTTCCACTGTTGGCACTAGCATTCATGCACATTGCACAGTGAATTGGGTTAAAGAGTGGAGTTGAATGAAAACCCAAAATAAGAGAAATTGCTAGTGGCTGGGGCAGTTTCCCACCCAGATCAGGGCCATATAAAGGCTGTGTGAGCCTGGGCTTGAGGTGGGAGCCAGTGCAGGGGTGGGAACAAGTGATTTTCATCAGTAGTGCTCACTGATAGCAACTGGAAGTGCTCCTAAAACTGCAGCAAGGAACTCTTGAAACAGTGAGTGAGACATGGCAGGTGGGGGGGGCTGTGCTCTGAATTCTGAAAGAGAGTTTGTCACTGGGCTGATAAATCCTTTCTCTGCAGTATTTCTGATTTATTCTCCCTGTTCTCCTTGCAGGCTCCCCAGGAAGTGCTTTTGCACATGGTTCTGGCTGAAGTGCCTAAGCAGCTGGTGTCGTACTACAAATGGCAGGGATGGCCACCTGTGAAACCACCAGAAATAAAGACCATACAGATTGCAGCCTGACCCTGGCCACCTGTATCACTGGGGTGAAGAGAGCTGTCTCCACCCACACTCTACCTTGCACACTGTGGGTGCTCAGTGCCTCGAGGTTGTACATTCACACTAATTCTTTTACTTGCCTGTGCTCTGTATCTTTGATCTTTCCTGTTCGTAATTGGAAGAAATGTAAATACGGAAAAAAACCCACAACTGCTGGCAGTTTTTGTCACAGAAAAATAGACCTTGTTGGTTTTCCAACTTGCAACAGTGACACATTGTACCACACATCATTGCTTGACACAGCCCTTCTGCTGCTTGGTATTGGAGTGGGCATGTGCACCGAGCTCCTCTCGCAGCACTGCTTCAATGCTCAGTTTTGTAGAAGTATGGCAGTTGTGTTTGCTGTGATGATACTTATCATGTTGTCCTGGTTTCAGCTGGGATAGAGTTAATTGTCTTCCTAGTAGCTGGTATGGTGCTATGTTTTGAGTTCAGTATGCCAAGAATGTTGATAACACTGATGTTTTCAGTTGTTGCTAAGTAGTGTTTAGTCTAAAGTCAAGGATTTTTCAGCTTCTCATGCCCAGCCAGCGAGAAAGCTGGAGGGGCACAAGAAGTTGGCACAGGACAGAGCCAGGGCAGCTGACCCAAACTGGCCAACGGGGTATTCCATACCATGTGACACCACATCTAGTGTATAAACTGGGGGGAGTGGGGGCGGGGTATCGCTGCTCAGGGAGTAGCTGGGTGTCGATCGGTGGGTAGTGAGCTATTGCACTGCGCATCATTTGTACAGTCCCATCCTTTTATTGTTGCTGTTGTCATTTTATTAGTGTTATCATTATCATTATTAGTTTCTTCTTTTCTGTTCTATTAAACCGTTCTTATCTCAACCCATGAGTTTTACTTCTTTTCCTGATTTTCTCCCCCATCCCACTAGGTGGCAGGGGGAGTGAGTGAGTGGCTGCGTGGTGCTTCGTTGCTGGCTGGGGTTAAACCATGACATGTGTTCTATGATAGGCTTTTTTTCTTCTATCAAGCTGCCTTGGGAATGAGGACCCTTCTGTCCTGGTTGGTACCAAAGTCTGTTGGTTGGATGCCTGAGGTAGTTCCTGTTGTACCTTCAATTAAAGTGCCAGTATAGTTTTGTATGTAGAAGTTTATTATTAAATTTCAGTGACCATACTTTGCAATCTTCTTTTTAATCACATTTTTCTATTAGAAAAAATTGCTTCTGTGATGGCCTCTTGCTTGGAGCCATTGTTGCAATTTAAGAACACTTGTGTTCTATTTGTGGGGGGATTAATAAGGATTAATCACTAATTAATTGAGGGGGATTAATAAGTCACATTAATGTGACTTTGAAAATCCAGCAACTGGAAACACTGAAATAAAAATGCTTTGAGTGATTTTGTGTCACAGAAGTTGTAAAATGAAGAAGTAATTATCTGTGGAACTCCAAAGAGGTGCGTCTTTGTCCTCAGAAGTGTGAAGTATGTATTATGTGGTCTGGGGGGCTGTAGAACAGGCAGAGGATAGCAAAGCACAATTGTTTTGAGAGATGGGAGTTTGATAGTTCATTTCAAAATGGAGATAAAGAAACGTGGGCTTGTCATTGCACTACAAGTGGTCATCACTTTCAGTTTCATAAATAAATAATCTGCTTTGATTTACATAACATGTCTGGACTCTTATTTCCTTTCTGGGCTTTTCCTTTTGTTTTCCAGCAATGTGGATGTTTTGGTTTATGGAAGGTCTTCACTATAGTACTAGCCTGGTGGTGATTCAGCATCTGAGTTAGCCCAGGTTGAGAGTGATCAGCTGCAAAAGCAGAACAAGTTGTCCGTCATCATTAGTTTTGTTACCTGTTAATCACTAAGACTGCTGGATGTATATCCTACAGCCCTGTCCTGCAGTGAGATGATGTGTTTCTTTACTGTGAAATTATGTGAAAGAACTCATCTGTTCTACCAGTTAAACTAGGAAATGGATGGTGAGAATACATTAGAAGACTTCTCTGGTGATTCAGGCTATTACACTGCTAGGTTACAAAGCTGTGTGAAAGCAGAACCTGGGTTTGAATCCACCTCCTCAACTAGACTAGTCGTTCTGGATGGTATCTGCCACCAAACTAGTACATAGCTTGTGCTTGAAGGGCTGTGGGTCTAGGACCACTGCTGAGCAAAGATGAATTTGTGCTAATTTTTTATTCAAACCTAGTTTTGACCATGATGTGTTCTCCCAGGTTCCACAGGCAGCAGACAGCTTCCTCTAGAGAAAGCTGGGCTGTCTTTTCTGAAATACTCCATCATCTAGCCTGCAGCACCTAATTTTCTTGCACTTACTTAGATTCTTGAAGGAAACCAAGCAACCTCTCTTCTTGAGTGGCTGCCTAAACTAAAATGTGTTAGAAGTGTGGAAGAGGGGGAAGAAAACTGCCAAGTCTTCTGTGAGAAACTGCACTGTGGTTGAGAGCATTCTTTACTCATGTTTTCAGCTGCTTACAACCTGTAGGCAGAGCTCTCCTTCCCTGTATTACTTGTACAAGAAACCTAAGGCTGGTTTTTGTGTGTGTGTGTGTATCTTTTTTTTTTCTTTTTTTTCTTTTTAATGAAGTAGTGGGAAATCTGTTTCGCACCTCTCCTTTTTAAACCTCTGCCAGTTCCTGCTCAAAAGGAGGAGTGTCTCAAAGGAATCCTCTGTCTCTCTGTATTGGCTATGAGGAGTGGAGTCAGTGTCTGTTCTGCAGCTAGCCGATGTGTCTCCAGGTGCTGGACTCATTGATGGGTAGGAGGGACCTTCCCTGTTTTGGGGAGAAAGAGACCAAGACGTGGTAGAGGCAGATCTGAGGAAGTTCCCCCTGTGGGAGCAGAGGAGAATTTGGAGGAGAAGCTCTTTACCTGCAGGTAAGTGGCTGAAATGTGACTGAGCAAAGGGACACAAGTCCCATGGTTGTCACTCGAGAACAAGAGCTGCACGGGTGTAGACCCAGGTGAAAAGCCATGGGAGGGTCAAGCTTGGAAGCTGCTGAACCGGGATGGCACAGTTTTGCTCATTTTCTCACATTCTTGACTCTCCCCAGGGCTCCTGGTTTTAGAAGCAGTGAAGATGGCTGCTGGCAGCTTTGGTGAGAGGCTGAGAGGTATGTCTCCTACCTTGTGCTACCCTGGGTGTAGCTGGAATGCAGATTTACAGCATGGTTGTTGCTTGAGGTAGATGAGAGCTCAGGTTTGAGCTCACGTTTTCTTTCTCAGGAGAATGTGCTGTTCTTGCGCAGTGCCAGTGCATGCTCTATGTCGTCCTCGATCACACTCTCACTTTATCTCCACAGTAAGCATGGGGAACACCCTAGAAGTCTCTTTGTCCTGGCCTTAACCGATATTGAGCAAGCACCCTTGTACTTGTGGTCCCCAAAGGTATTTCAGCTTCGGGGCTTTGTATAAATCAAAAGCTGTTGCATGTGGGAGCTCATCAGGGAGGGTTCCTCTTGCTTCTAGGATGTCTGGCAATAAATACTGGTGACTTTTCATGCCAGTCTATGCCATGCTACCCAACAGAGCTCCCTCCTCTATGGGAGATAATGCTTCATCCCCCTTCTTTGTCCAGACAGCTTGTTGGGCTAAGGGCCCTACTTGGGGTCTAAAATATTTGGTTTCACTCAGAAACTGTTTCACCAAAACTGAGGCATCATCTTCAGGTGAATGCAAGTGATGGGACCACTCCAGGTGTTTGAGGAAGCCACACAAACTCCACTGGGAGATGATGGCTTTTGATCAGCTTTGAGCAAATACTGGATCCACCCATCAGCAGCACACTTTGGTAGTCTGAATGTCTCGTTCAACAGCCTAAATTGCATCCCTTGCCCACCTCCAGCCATGACTGGGTCAGTGCACTGAGCTTTCTGCGCTGCCCTAAACTGATGGGCTCACTCATTTGGGTTCACAGAAGTGGTGCCGAAAGCTGCTGGCCTGATATGTTTTTGTTGCTGCACTGTGAAGTTGCATCCTCCCTACCATGGCTTGTTTGCACTGCCACCGGTGCTGCTTCACTAGTGCTCCAGGAAGCTCTTGTATAAAAGGCAAATAAAGGGAATAACCGCAAGGTTTGTTTCAAAGCAGCCTGGCATTGCACAGGCATGATTCACTTCTTGGTGTTTGCGGAGCTGGATTAGCCACCCTGGCTTGCTTCAAGGCATCTTGTACAGTGTGTGTGGATGCAGGTGTTTGGTGCTGGGTGGGAGACCCAGACCCCCAGGAGGAAGAAATGCTTTCCAAATTCTGCTGAGCTCTTGATTGTACGATTGCTTTAATCTGGCCTGAATCTGTGCTTGGGAAGGGCTCCAGCATCTCTCATTTACCAGTTCTCCTGCAGGTGAGCTGAGCTTGATGAGGCCAAGCTGGTTAGCACAGCTGTGAGCACAGCTGGCTCCTGGCATGATGTGCCCCAGGTCTCCCTCCTGCAACCTCCCTGCTGTGAGGGGCCAGGGCCAGTGCCCTGCAGAGCAGTTGGAGCTCCTATCCCACTGTCCATGGATTTCAATGCTCATCTCTGTCCTGCAGAGACCTGGCACCTGGGCTGCAGCCTCTGTCCCCAGAAAGTGCTCTGCCATCCCACTTGCACCAGCACACCTCCTCTGGTCCCTTGTGTTGGCATGCTCCTATGCAGGGTAGGTCGGAGGTGAGCAGGGGCTGCTAAGCACATGCTGGTCAGAGCACAGTTTCCGCACCGCAGGGGAGCCCAAGCCTTCTAATCAGAGGGCTGTGACCTTGCCTAGCTGGCTTCCCTTCCCCACCCTCCCTCTGTTTGCTTTGGAGGGTTTTAACCACAGAAGCTGTGACTTTGTGCTGGAGAAGTGGCAGGGCTGGGGTGGCCAAGAGCAGAGCTGGGCTCCCATCCTTGCTGCAGAGCTCAGGCTGGTATCCTCCAGTCCCAGCTTTGGAAGCCCCTGTCGTCCCCCCTGCAGGGCATGAGGCCTGAGCTGAAGCATGGCTGCGTGACGGCCTCCACTGGGGGTTTTCCTTCCTCCTTCCTTCCACAGCCCTGGGACAGGAGACCGCCCACCGCTGCGCTCCCCGCCTCACTGTCTCCAGCGGGCCTGTGCATCAGTGCTGCCACAGGGTGTGAAGGGACGGTGTCGTCGGGGTCTGGCCGCTGGAGGGCCCAGGGCCGACATCTGCGAAGTGCCTCCCTGTGGCCGAGTGCTCTCCTCTGCCCGGCTGGGCCGTGGCCCCGGGGGGCTCAGGCCGGTTGCCCCGCGGGGGCCATCCCGCTCCCCGCAGCCAGCCCGGTGCCCCAGGGCCGAGGGAGTCAGAGCAGCCGGGGCCGCCCCCCTCTTTCCCCCCCCGTCCCCCGTGTCATTCGGCAGGGGTCGCCAGGCCCGTGGGGCGCCGGGGCGGGGAGCGGGCGGCCGAACCGGCCGGGCGAGTCAGGGCTGAGTCACGGCGGGCGGAGCAGGGCCGAACGCGGCAGCGCTGCCCGCCACTGGCTCCATGGCGCTCAGCGTCGGCATCCGGCGGCTCTCCTGCTTGCCGGGCCATGGCGAGAGGCAGGTGCAGCTCAGCTTCCGAGGTGGGCCCCGGCCACGCTGGGAGGGATGGAGGGAGGGATGGGGTCTGCCTTCCCCGCGGCAGGTGGGCTGGGCCAGGCTGCCCCGCCGGCACCTCACGCCTCCCTTCTCCTTCCCAAGGCTTCACCCAGAAGACGAGGATGATACGCTGCGGTCCAGAGGCCGTCTTTGGGGAGGTGAGCGCAAACCAGGGAGGCATGAGGAGCAGCGGGGCTCCTCCGCAGGTGTCGTCCATGGGGCAGGGATGGGACATGGTAGCACCTCGGTCGATGCCTCGTGGGGCAGGAGGGGGTAATGAGGGGAGCAGGGACCGGGGGTGGGCTGGGAAACATTCCTCCTAGTGCCCATCTTCACTGTCACATCCCTGAAGCCTGCAAAAGCCCAGCTATACCGGACTGGCGGGTGGTTCCCATTGCTCATCTCCCGTCCCATCTCGATGCCTCCGTGCCGCCCAGGGAAAGGAGGAGAAGGATGGGGGGCAAGAAGGACCTGTCCTTGCCAGCCGCAAGGCAGCCAGCCAGTTTGGGTGTCAGGTGAATTGCAGCCTTGGGGTGCAGCTTTACGATGTGCCTGAGCCTGGTGGCTCCCTGCACTGGGTGATCTCTTCTCTCCAAGTACCTCTATACCTTCCTGTGCCTTGTCTGACCCACAACCTGCCAGCTCAGGGACCTCAGCAGGTATAAGCATCCTCCTCCTTCCAGGGTGATGATGCTCTGGCTTCTTTAGCAGATGATTTGTGGCTCTGTGCTGCTGGAGGGACTCTCACTCCCCTCTCCATCCTTCCTCCGTTCCCACCTGCAGGGTCTGCCCTGGCCAGCAGGAAAGTAACTTCCCACCCCAGCAGCTTTTTGTTACACTCCTTGGTTCAGTCACTTTGCAGAGGAGACCAACCAGCCACCAAAGGTGGGAAAGCATGGCTGGGAATGAATTATTATCTCTTCCTGCTCTGTTTGTTTACAGCTTTTTCGCTGGCCTCACTATGGGAAGCTTGTCATGGGAGAAATGCTGTCCATTAAGGTTTACAACTGCAGCAAGGTTTTTAGTAACAGGTGGGTCTTTTGGTTGTTGGGGTGACTGGCAGAGGTGAGGGAAGAGACATACTGGGCTTTAGATTTTCTACCGGGAGTAGAAAATGTTTATCAGAAATTTGATGGAAGGCAGGCGAGCAGGATACAAGTTGTAGAAGAGGGATAGAGATGGTTGTTCTGGTGGGGCAGCAGTGCTGTATATATTAAGTTAAATAAGGGGAATTATTTAGTTGTGCCAGAAGTAACAGAGAATACCTAAGGATCCAGATCAGACCCCCAGGTGGGACAAAGGTAAAATAGGGCTCTAAAAAACAGAGCTACAAGGGCAGGACTTGCAGCAGAGTGGGGCCCTGCTCTCACGCTGTAGATCCACGTGGTGACCATGACAATGCTGCACCCGAATTCAACATGCCTATCAGTGGGGAAAAGCCCCAAGCCTGTGGTAGTATGGTTTAACCTTTAAAAAAGACAACAATTTAAATTTAAAGGGTCAACCAGAATTTAAAACGCTTCCAGGTAGCACAGATGCAATACTGTGAACTCAACAGCTACTCCAACAGTTGTAAAACACTTCAGGGAAACCCAAGGGTAGGGGTGACAGATTGAGTAGTGGTGGTGGAGCAAGCAAGAGAGCAGAGGCACATCCTTCCAGGACATGTGAAACATGAGGATGCAGGGAAAGGTGCCAGCTCTGATAAGCAAAATGTAAGAACTGAAGGAAAATCAACAGGAGCAACTTTCTAGCAGCAGCTAATAACAGAAACCTTTTCAAAGCCATCACAAGCCTGCCAGAGAGGGTGTGGAGGAAACAGAAGAGTACAGTACATGCGAGATACTTAAAGATAAAGCCAGAGCAGAAAATGTGGCTGAACTTTGTGTCACTGTTTACAGGATACTTTCCGTATGGGAGCTGGATCAGAGGAATTATTTCTGACTGAAATGTCAATAGAAACTGTTATAGGACAAATAGATAAAACAAACAGTAACAAATCACCAGGACCTGATGGTGCTGAACAACGAAGTCCAATGGGAAATGACTGGACTGGCACTGACAGCACCTATTCACACAACTCTGCTGCTGGGGAGCAGAGTAATGGCAAGTGAAATACATTACAGTTTAAAAGCAGTTGGTCAGTGCACTGGGATGATAAAAAATAAATAGAGAGTGTTGAGGGACAGAAGGGAAAAATTTGTTATGCCGCTGTATCGATCTGTGGTCTCTAGACTTCTGCGTGTGCAGTCTTTCTGTGGTAGCAGCACCGAGCTGGAAAAGCTGGTGAGGAGAGGGATGAGTGGAGAGACTCCTTCCTTAGGCGTAGGAGACTAGATGGGCTCTGCGCCTCAGAGAGGAGGGAGGTGAGAGAGAATACGAGAGATCAGTAGCTTGCAGCTGACATGGAGGTGACTGGGGAATGATTCCTCCTGTCTTGGTCCCGGGCAGGCAGTGCAACGCTCCAGTGGTGCTTTCCAGCAGGCAGTAGGAAGCTCTGCTTCACATGGGGCTTAGCTCGGCTGCTATCAGAGCTGTCACGGGGAGATGGAGGCTAATGTACAAACGGGCTCCAGACAGCAGTAACACAAGATGTGGTTAGGAGCAGCTGAATGCATTCCTGCATGTGTTACTGCCACTTGCAGGGAGCCAGGTGACCCTTCCCCAGGGAGAAGCCCCTTTGGAGTAGGTAAATTTTGGCCCAACTTGCTGCAGACATCCCTGTGGCCATGGATTTATGTCCTGTTTCTGTATTTCCTTGTGTGGAGCCTTTGCTTCCCAGTTTTGTCTGGGAAGAGTCACCCCAGCTCTGCTGGGTGCCCAAACACAGGCTGGCTCCCGTGAAGCCCAGCTCTGCTGAAGGGGAGAGCTGCTTTACAGTCAGTAAGACTGGATCTGTGCAAGCCCTTAACTATCAATGGCACCTTGGTTGCAAGCAGCTGCTTGGGCATGACTAGGGTGGGGGCATGACGTGCTGCAGGTTCAGTGTGTCTCAGGTATTTCAGTTGCCAGACTCCCTATGGAAAGCACTGCAGCAGTTCGCTGCCTTCACCACAGCTTGGTGGGGTTGTGAGCAGGAGAGCAGAGATCCTGGTACTTTCTTTCCCCAGGATGTAGGTGCTGATGCTACATACACTATTGCTGCAGCCTCTGGTTTTCTTCCAGGCTTCTCGGTACCCTTGTCCTCAGCCTTCAGCACCTGATGACGTCTGGGAGGCTCATCCTTCGGGAGGCCCTCATTGACAGGAACCAGAGAGTCACTGGTGTAAGTCCTCCACAGGCAGCCTGGCCATCAGCAATCAGGAAGGCTTTGTGGGAAACCTTGCGTGGTGCTTCCCAGGTGGATTTGGGGCTGAGGGGAGTCCAAGGTGCTGCTTTGACCCTGGGAGTATCACGGTGTTTGTGCCATCCCTGCGCAGGGATGCAGCCACTTCACACCCATTAAGTGGTTCTAGGAGCATCCAGAAGTGCGTGGGGTAGAATGGGGGCCCCAGAGACCTGCCAAGGGCCTGAATGAGCAGAGGCAGGCTTAGTAAAACCTCCCCAGGTCTGGGCGATGGATGTAGGAGGTGGCATTTCATCTGCATCCTGCACCACACGGCGTGTGGGCTGCTGCAGAGTGCAAAGCAGGGGGGAGTTGACAGAGTGAGGCTGAAGGTGGCATGGTGCCTCAGGACCCCCGGTGAGCTTTTGGGTTAAATACCAACGCTAACTGGATTGCTTAATGATGGTCTGGGGCAGCGTGAGTGGCTCTGACACCTGCCTGCCCCTCTGCTCTGCGCCGTGGGTCCCACTCCCCTCCTGCCCCAGTGCTGGGGCTCACTGGGCCCTTTGTGCTGGTGGAAAATGAACACAACCCAAAAATGAGTCGTTTCCTGCCAGCTGGGTGTGCAGGCACAGTTCAGCAAGTGCTGGACAACCAGGGCTCAGTGCCAGGGCTGTGAGCAGGGCTGGGAGGAGGGTAGGCGGAGGTGGGCAGCCCTGTGATGTGCTGCACCCCTGTTTGCCCTTCCCACAGGCAACGTGACTCACCCCCATGGTGGCATGTGGGATGCAGCTCTGTGGCCACTAGACCATGAGCCTGAGTG